ATCTGCCACCAGCAATGCCCAGAGGCTCTGGGGTCCATCCAGCCCCCGTGCCCAGCACCATTTGCTCATTCAGCCCAGAGGAGTCGATGAGCGGATACACAGGAAGGGGGACACGGATGGGGCACGGGCAGCATCCCCAGGGAAGGGATCCCGCACGTCCCAGGGCTCTCCAGGGAAGCCAATCCCATGGGAAAACCCAAACCTGCATCGCCCCTGCGAGGGCAGGCACCAGGCTGGGGACAGCGAGGTCCCCACGGGCTCCTCTGCAATGGGATCCGCCTCTCCCTCCTCCTGCCCCCCAGCACATCCCAAGCCCCCCCCTTCCGGCCGCCAGCATCCATCTGGCAGCAGCCGGGAGCAGATCGGTGTCTCCCTAAAGAACAGGCTCTTTGTGCTGGGAACGGCTGGGATTTAACGACCCGGCTTTGTCCAGCCGGGAGCAGCCAGCCCTTCCCTGCACGCAGGGACAGAACAGGAGACCCGCACACTGCCGATGGGAAGGGGACACAGAGGGAACCCACAACCAAACCGAGCCCCCCCCCACCGCGGTGCCATAGGGCAGGGTGAGCCCCTGGATCCCATAGAGCAGGAGCGATGGGCGAGCTCCCAGCCTGGGGCTTCCATTGGGAATCCCAGCGGCAGCGCCAGGATCGGAGCAGCCAAACCCCAGTTCCTGCCAGGAAAGAGGCAGGGAAAAGCCCATCCGTGCGGCTCGGAGGAGGCGCCCGGGATGAGGGATCCCGAGGGAACCCGGCCCGGACAGGCCGGGAAGGCGGCAGCGGGATCCGCAGCAGCTGTCCCGGGAACAGGATCAGTGCCTGCATCCCGGTGACCTTGAGGGGCCCCGAGCCCCGGATCGCGAGGGGACAGCAGGGATTGCCTGGAAACCATGGGAGCGCCCAGGTCACCTCGGGTGCCGGCGCAGCCGTGGAGGGGGGGCACCGGGACCCACTGGCTTTGGGGGGGGGGGGGTGCCCGTAGCACAGGTGCCAATAGGAATCACAAGCCTTGGAAGTGGGCTCCACCAGGGAATGAGAGTCCTCGCGTCTCAGTGTTCCCAAGGAAGAGCTGGGAGCAGGGAAGCACTCAGGGACCCGCAACCCCTCTTCCCAGGGCCGCTGGGAGCAAGATTCCCGGAGCAAGGCAACCTGCCGGCCTTTGCCAGTGCCACCAATGGGCCACTCGGCCGGCCCTCATCCCGCTGGGAAGCCGGGCGGGAGGGGGGAATCCCGCGGGATGCAGCGGTAGGAAGGAGCCAGGGAGGCTGGAGCACACAAAGGAGGTGGAATCGCGCAGCACAAAGAGCCTCTTCTCTCTTTGTCTCGCTGCTCCCACACGGGGCACCCCGCACCAGAGCACTTTGGGGTCCGTCCTGCCCCCCCCCAGCATCCAGAGCCGGTGCTTCCAGAGCCCTTTGGGGCTGGGAGACACCGGGAGCGCCTGGCACCCACCGCATCCCGCAGCAGCGCTGCTGCGCGGGGTCACCGCGGGGGACCGTGGCTGAAGGATGCTGGTGGTACCCAATGGACCCCCCCTGCCCTAAGCGCCTCGGGGGATGCCCACTTGTGGCTTGTAGTGGGAAGAGGGTGAGAGCATTCCCTTGGGATTCAGTAGCCTCCGATATGGGGCAGGCAGAGGGATCCCGTGGCAGGGAGCAGAGCACCAGACGTGGACCAGGGCAGGGAGGGGACACGGAGGCGAGGGGCAGGGGTGCGGGACTCACCCTTGCTGGCCGTGGCCATGAGTCCCCGCAGCGATCGTGCTTGCTCCGCACTTCAAAGGCACGGGCAGGAAGAGGCCATCCTTTGGGATCGCGGGAGCTGCGGAGGGAAGGGGCAGGGATGGGCAGGAGCAGGCAGAGCCCCCATGGGTGCGGGCAGCAGCAGGAGCCCGTGGTGCGACCGAGCCAGCCCCGGGCTCTTGCGCCATCAGCTCTGGGGTTCCCCGCCTGGAAAAGGGGGATTCACACCCAAACCCTCCCCGTGCCTCAGTTTCCCCATTCCCGCTCCGCACGGAGGCTCCGGGAGCCGCCGCATGAGCCCTGAACCGAGTGGGAACAGCGCAGACCCGGGCACGGAACCCCCCCCCCATCCCTTTCCCAAGGGAATCGCTGCTCTCTCCGGCCTGGCGAATGGCTGTGCCCCCCCCCCCGATAACGGGGGTCCCCACCAGCACCCCCCGGGTGGGTACATCGAGACCGGGGGACACCAGGACTCCCCCCCCCCCCCCCCCTGAACCGGAGGTTCAGGTCCAGGCACCCCAAAGCTGAGGCTCAAACCCCGCCGGGAGCCCCAGCGCGGGCCGGGAGCGCCGGGATTCACCGGGAACACCGGAACGCACCCAGGATGCGGGGCCCGCGGGCTCCCGTTGCCCTTGACGGGGTCAATGCCGCAGCCCCGGGGTACGCGGTCTCCCCGGGCCGCCCCCCCGGTACCCAACCGGAGACACGCACCCCCCCGCCCCGCCCGGTGGCCCCAATCTGCCTCCGCCATCACCTCGCGGTGTTTCCCACCTGCCCCCCCCAGCCCCGGTGCTGCAGGAGGGGACGCGGGGCTGGGCCCCCGGTCCCGGTGCTCCCATCACGGCCATGGGGTAACGACCGGCCCGGGCGAGCAGCACGGGCCGGGACCGCGGCACCGGGACCCCCCGCCCCTCCCATCCGGGTCCCCCCTTCCCGGTGTCACCGCCCCGGGGGCCCCTCCCGGTCCCGGTCCCCCCCTCCCCATGCCTCACCCCGCCCGCTCCGTCCCGGTCACCGCCGTGGCCGCCGCGCTCCCGGCTCCCCGCTTCCCACTACCGGGACCCGCCCCCTCGCCTCCCATTGGCCCCGACACACCCTCCGCGCTTTCCCATTGGTCCACACCTTTAACGGCCGCGCCCACCGAGCCACGCCCTCCGGGTCGTCGCCAAGGGGCGGGGCTGTCGCTAAGGGGCGTGGCCAAGGGCTGGGGCAGCCAATGGGCAGCGGGCGGCGAGGGAAGGGGCGAGGAGGGGGTACCCCCGTTATCGGTCGATGCGGTTGCCGCGGCAACACGTGATCATTGTTACCGTCCGGGCCTCCATCGCGACAGCGCGACGACATGTCGCGACAGGCCAGACGATGTGCCGCGACAGGCCGGAGCCTCCGAGGGTGTGGGAACGGGTGGGACCCTCCCAGGATGAACCCCCCGGTTTGGGGGTAAGTCCAGTTAAAGCAGGCAAAGGGCGGCACTGAGGGCTCGGGCAGCGCGGAACCCTCGGGGGCGTGGGGGGCAGCCGGGGCTGGAGCCGAAGGCCTCGGGCCGTTAGGGGAAGGTGGATGTGGTGCGGGAGCCGGGTCCCTGCTGTCCCCGACACCCCTTGGCTCATCCCGGCTCCATGGGGGAACTGGGCTGGGGCCCAGGCAGGGCAGCTGGGCAGGGATGGCTCAGCCCATCCCATATCCTGTATCCCATATCCCATCACATCTCATCCCATCACATCTCATCCCATCCCATATCGCATCTCATGTCACCTCATCCCATCCCATCCCATATCATCCCATCCCATCTCATCTCATCCCATCCCATCTCATCCCATCACATCTCATCCCATCCCATATCGCATCTCATGTCACCTCATCCCATCCCATCCCATATCATCCCATCCCATCTCATCTCATCCCATCCCATCTCATCCCATCCCATCTCATCCCATCCTGTGTCATCTCAACTCATCCAATCTCATCCCATCCCACCCCATTTCATTCCACCTCACCTTATCTCATCCCACCCAATATCTCACCCCATCCCATCCTGTTGCATCCCACCTCATCCCCTCCCCATCCCACCTCATCTCATCCCATCCCAGCTCATTCCACCCTATCCCATATCCCATTCTATCCCTCTCGATCCTATCCCACCCCATCCCATTCAAACCTAACCCATCCCATCCCAGCTCATTCCACCCCATCCCATATCCCATCCTATCCCATTCAATCCCCCCCCATCCCCTTCAAACCCATCCCATCCTCATCCCAATCCCCTCCCACCGCCTGCAGCTCCCATCACGTCTCCCCATGAACCGGAGCACGGGAAAGGGCTCGCGTGTCCCACGGGATGCCGGGATCCGGCAGCTGCCGGGGGAATAGGGGCTGGGAAAAGCAGCTGGAGCAGGTTCCCATTGGGACAACGTTCCCTTCGGAGCCCACAGCTGCCAGAGAGCTTAAAGTGGTGGGGGACAACGCGTGACAACGCGTGACAACACGTGACAACACGTGACAACGCGTGACAACACGTGACAACACGTGACAACGCGTGACCCTGCACACGGCTCAGCCCGGGATGGGATACAGCACATCCTCATGTGGGAAGAACGGGATAACCCCAGTGGGTTTCACCCTGAAAGGTGTCCTGGGCACAGCAGGGGTGTCCCCATGTCCCCAGGGATGGGAATGTCACCAGGGAGGAGCGGCGACATTCCCATTCCTGGCGACATTCCCGTCCTGGGCTGCCCGACGCAGACCCTTTCCAAGGCATGGATCTCCACAAGGATCACAGAACCCAAGAGCTTTGGGAATGGGATTCAGTCCCAGCCTCCAAACACTGCAGATCCCACTCCGACACCGCATCCACCGGGGAATAACCCCCCAGGACCCCCTCACAGCCTCACCAAACAACAGGGATATTTAATTCCCAGCATCCGTGGCGTGGGAAGGATGGGATGGGAGGGGAGGGGATGGGACGGGACGGGACGGGAGGGGATGGGATGGGATGGGATGGGACGGGATGGGATGGGACGGGACGGGACGGGACGGGATGGGATGGGATGGGATGGGATGGGACGGGACGGGATGGGAGGGGATGGGAGGGGATGGGATGGGACGGGACGGGAGGGGAGGGGATGGGATGGGACGGGACGGGACGGGAGGGGATGGGATGAATCAGAGCCATGCCCCGAGGTGAGCACCGCGTTCCCACTCCTGCATCTTGTCCTGGGAGTCGCTGTGCTGGAACTGGGAGCACCGGGAAGCGCCGGGAAGCGCGGGGCTCAGCGCCGCTGGGCCTCCCGCAGCAGCCGGCTCAGGTCCTGGATGCGCACGTCCTTGAGGCGCAGCAGCTGCTCCAAGCGGCTCACCTTGAGCTGCAGGATCTGCGCGACATTCCCGCAGGGATTGCGGCCCGCAGCTCCGCCATGGGGGCACCCATCACCTCTGGCGGGGGAGACCGAGGCGGGCAGGGCCGCATTTGGGGTCCCTATTGCAGCTCCCAGCGCCCACACGCAGCTGATCCCTTAAAGCCCAGCCCGGGATTCCCAGCACCGGGAATTTTACGCTTTAAACTACGTTTTCCAGGGGAAAAACCGCGTTTTTAGGCAACACCGAGCCGCAGCCCTGACGGGCCCCCGTTCCGCATCACCCTCATCACCGGGCAGAGAGGATGAGCATTGGGATCGTTTGGGAATCGTGGATCCGCTCATCCCACACCCGCGGGTGCCTCCAGAGCCGGGTGCAGCCCCGGAGGGTGGCACGGGATGGGTGCGGAGGCAAAGGGGAGCTGTGGCAAGGAGAGGGGCACTCACCTGGATGGTTTCCTGTGCCAGGAGCAGCGCCTTCTCCTGCTCTGCCTGCTGCTCCTGAGCCCTGCAGTGGGAATGGGAACACCGGGATAAGCACTGACCCCCCGGAGCATCACTGCACGGGCCATGGCTGCTGCTGACAGCCCGCAGAGCCGCATCCCTGCACAAGGACCCCAGCACCGCTCAGCATCCCTATGGAGCATCCCTGCCCTTACCCGGCAGCCTTGGGAGACTCCTGGGTGCTGCCTCCTCCTGCCTTGGAGCCCCCTGGATCACAGAGGAGTTAGAGCAGGATCTGCCCCCCTCCCTGGGGACACCCCCTTCCGGCAGCCCCTCCTGCACCCCCCGGGTCGCTGTCGGGGTGCGTGCCCCGAAGGGATCAGGGGTGGGATACGGGGATGCTCCCTGATCCCGCCCCTGCCTGTACCTGTCTCCATGTAGCTGAGCCCTCCCCGCGCTGCCGGGACACCCGGATCCTGCATGGAGAGGGCAGGAAAACACCCGTCAGGCCTGGGGGGGTCACCCCATGGAGGGGCGGGGGCACAGTGGGCAGGGAGCAGCAGGGAATGGGGGGCAGGGACCCAGGGTGTTGGGAGCACCGGGATGAAGGGGGTGCAGCCAGGGCAGGAGCTCAGAGCCCCAGGGCCGGGCTGGGCTGGGTCTGCCTCAATCCATGAGGAAACCTCAGAGCAGCTCCAGGGCCTAAAGGGGCTGCAGGCAACCTGGAGAGGGGCCTGGGACAAGGGAGGCAGGGATGGGAAGAGGAGTTTGGGCTTCCAAGTGGAAGAGGGAAGAGCTGGGTGGGATACAAGGAAGTTCTCCCCTCTGAGGGCAGTGGGACACGGGAAGGGGTTGAAGCTGTGGCTGCCCCATCCCTGGCAGTGCTCAAGGGCAGGTTGGACACAGGGGCTTGGAGCAAGCTGCTCCAGTGGAAGGGGTCCCCATGGCAGGGCTGGGGCTGGAGGGGGTTTAAGGCCCCTTCCAGCCCGAACCCACCTGGCTCTGCCGCAGCCTCTCCTGGATCCTGCTCCGCAGCAGCAGCAGGACCTGCTCCGCCGCGCCCGGCCGGCCCTGCACCAGCTGCCGGATCACATCCTGCGGCAGGCAGCACTTGAGCTTGCTCAGCACCTTCCTGCCGTGGGGCGGGGGGGGAGAGAATGAGCAGGCCCTGCCCCATAGGGCTCTGCAGAGGGTCCCAACTGAAGGGGGCTGTAGGGAGGCTGGGGAAGGGCTCTTCATTAGGGACAAGGGGTAACGGGATCAAACTGGAACAGGGCAAGTTTAGATCGGACCTAAGGAGGAAATTCCTTCCTGCTGAGGGGCAGGGACACAGTGGAGCACAGAGGGACACTGGGGGCAGGGGAGTGCTGTGGGACAGGGGGATGCTGTGGAGCAGGGGAGGTGCTGTGGGGCACAGGGGTGCTGTGGGACAGGGACACAGTAGAGCACAGAGGGACACTGGGGGGCAGGGGAGTGCTGTGGGACAGGGGGATGCTGTGGAGCAGGGGTCAATGTGGGACAGGGAGGGCGCGGTGGGGCAGGGGCATTGGGGAGCAGGGGAGGTGCAATGGGACAGGGTCACTGTGGGTCAGGTGGTGCCGTGGGTCAGGGTCACTGTGGGTCAGGTGGGTGCCATGGGTCAGGGTCACTGTGGGGCAGGGGCACTGTGGGTCAGGTGGTGCCGTGGGTCAGGGTCACTGCGGGTCAGGTGGGTGCCGTGGGGCAGGGTCACTGCGGGTCAGGTGGGTGCCGTGGGGCAGGGTCAGGGTCAGGGCCCGGGCCCGCGGTACCGGTTGAGCTGTGCCCAGTTGCTGAGCTTCTGCGCGGTGGCGCAGGCGGGGACGTAGCCGTGCAGCTGCACCAGGGCGGGCAGGAAGAACTTCACCACCTCGGCCGCCAGCACTGCGGGGCCACGGGCGGCGCTCAGCGCGGGCCCCTCGGGGCTGCGGCCCTCCCGCACCGCTT